AGTGTAAATGAGAAATTAATGATTATTTAAGTAACACACAAATGGTCTTGTAATTAACAAAGAGCTGTGAAATTATTCTTGTGTTGACCTTTGTTTCTTTCACTGCATTTGCTATTTATTTACACTCATGTTTATTTACACTTATTCATTTTAGAGGCTGTCCTCATATGCTGTCTGTTCTAGATTTAAAAGGCGAAAGAATTTTTAAGAGGAAAAAATGCAGGCTTTACCAGTCTAGTGAAAATAACCACCCAGTATTTATGAAAGAAAAAAAAAATAAATAGGAAATTAAGAGCACAAAAAAAAAAATTATAAACAGGGAACAAACAACATCACCATTTGCAAAGAAGGGCTTTACGAATTTAGGAGTTTTTCCAAGAATGACAGAGAGCTCCACTGTGTTTATAGTGTAACAGCTCAGGATGTAATGAAATTACACTGCAGAGTACTTTAACAGTGTCATCTCATTAGACCTACAGTTGGAACAAGAGAGCCACATAAAACAGGCAGCTGCAAATGACTCCATTCTCATCTATTCTCATTTGCTATTAAAAATACCTTTCGGCGGCTTTTTTCCTCCCTGACATCCCTACACAAAGTACCCTGCAAAGTATGATACATGCACCTATTTAAATTAACAAAGGAATGACTTATTTTAATCTCACTGTGCTTTGGAGTGCTTTGGCCATTTGGATGAGCAATATATCATTACATACAACCTTCCAGCGCTGCAGGCAAGAAACTCAGAGCGTGCAGCATTTGGTGGGAGCCAAACAATTTCTCTAGCACACAACTGTGTCAAATGCATGCATGTATTCATTATTGAGAATGCGAGGAAATAGCTTTGATGTAGTGGAAAAAAGAAGATGATAAAAGCACCTCTGCAATGTGTGTGCCATTATCAATGGTGGCAGATAGACACAACTGCAGAGCCTCCTATGTGATTAGTAAATATACATATAATTGCTGTGGCCAATTATCAGAAAAATGAGATCGGTAATTACAAGACAGAAAATTAACTAGAACTCTTATTAAGGCTTTGTTTCCAATTCGAACAATTGGAAACTGCTGGAAAATACAATTAAATCAAAAGTAACTGAAGAGTAAAAGGAGAAGCCAAAATTGCTTTACAATTTTCAAAGACTTCTATTAAATACAAGGAGTGTTTGATATAACATGCCCAAATTCTCTTTGAACTTAGACCGGGTGAGGGAGAGGTTATTGTTTCTAAACTTATAAATGACATCAATATAGGAAGGTTTCCACTGGAGAGTGGAAGGAACATAAGGAAATAAGTAGTGCAATTAAACTTTCTCCACTTCAAAGAACTGCGCCTGAAAATTATTCATATTAATACAGAAAATGCAGAACAAAATGTCAGGCTTGCTTATCCGGTGTGGAGCCCAGCAGGTTTTGCCTCTCCCCATCATTTTCTCGTGTCCAGCAGAGCCTTCCTGGCCTTCCACCTGAAGTGGCAAATGCTGCTTTCCCAGGTGGGACAGACTCAAAGCAGAACAGGTAGGAAATACTGGGCACATATTACAGATCATTTTGAAAACTACAGGGCAAAGCAATCGGAGCCCTTTCCCCAGGGAACTGGCTCTGCCCAGCAATCTACCCTGGCTGTTTAAGTGAAATGCAAGTGAGGAGCTTCTTACAAACGTCCCTCTGAAGGGGCCGCCAGCTCGGATCAGTCCATGCCGTGGAACAGGACAGGAATACGGCACTTCACACTAATTTGGTAGGTGATAATTTCTGCAATCACAAAGAGATGATGGACCCATAATGGAGTGAAACTTCATTATGAGAGGGGAGGAGAAGCTGATGAACTGCTCTGAAGCCACCAGCGTTTCACTGTCCCATCAGGGTTCATGCAGGCAAGGGAAGAAGTTGCTCCATCAGTATTAACGCCTTGACCACGCAGCTCCTGTACTGCAGCACAGCCAGAAGACAAGGCGCTCCTGCATAAGCATGCAAGAAAATTTCACCTGGATGAACGTAAATGTAAAATGTTATTTTTTTTGGAACATCTTTCTATACGATGCAGGTATTTCAACCTCATCCAAGCCTACTCTCTTCTGCTGTAGACCTGTCAGTCATGGCCATGCCTTGGTTGGTTTGCTCTCAGGAGCTCAGGAAGAGATTGCGCGCGTGTGGGTGGAGATGAACACAAACTGGATCTCAATATGAAAACCAGATGCTTTAGTACAGTCTTCCCAAAGATTTTAGACTGGGCGCCCACAAATTTATTGGCTATTTGCCTGACAAATTGAACGCCTTCTGGGAGAGTGCATCAATCTCAAGAAAATACTTGCTGGCAAGCGTGTTTGAGGGCAAAAAGATCAGTGCAGGTAAAAACTTTAAGCTCACTCCTGTATGTATGAGCCAATTGTTACTTTACAGCATAGGTAAGACAGGGGAGAGGGAGGCAGGTTTTGGTTTTAGCTGAACCAGGAAAGTACAGACCCTCAACTGCTTCCGAAGGTGAATGCTGCCTCAAATGCTGCATTTTACCTTAGTTAGAAAGAGAAAACATCCATTCACTATCTGCCGAGGGAAACCAATGATGGAAGTATTTCAATTTCTGATATTGTTCTATGCAAGACCATTTGAGTAGTAAAAAGGTGAGAGTATTTTGTAGTTAGAGCTATATCAAATGAGAGAAAGCGTTGGTATCGCTACCTCTGTAACTTGAGCAATCACAATGTTGTTGTATCAGGTATAAAGCAAAAATTTCCAAAACTACGCAAAGTAAATACATCTTACATTGTATCCTGAAGTTCCCCGGAGTTTGGCTGACACTCAGAGAGATGGGAATACGAGGAAATAAAGCAAAGCTATGCATGTTTCTACCAAGTCTACGTCGTCTGTGTGATACAACACAGTCACATTTGATGTAACTCTAGGGAACGGTCCAGCTGCACTCCTATGGCCTGCCTTATTTTACCCACCTGCACAATGAAATTATATTACAGAGGCAAAAAAGGCAGAAAACCAAGATTTTAAAGGAGTGAGAAATAGGTATACTCATTTTAAACTGGGAAATGGTTCTTTCATTTTCATTAAACTTTTTCATTTTCATTAAACTTTTTCATTATCTTTTAACCAATGTCATGACGACCTATATATTGGGGATGCTGCTAAAATAAAGACACAAACAATTGTAAGGGTCAATGTACCATTGGCCTCTTACATCCCCAGGCAGCTTATTCCCAAGACTGGCTATTTCCCTAAGCATCCAAGCAACATTTCCGTAACTGGGATCTGCTGTAGGAGAAGACAAGATCAGCCTCTGATTTCTCAAAACCAGCCAAACTGTGCACACACAGTGAGAATGGGGAAGGGCAATAGGAAAAAAGTTTGAGTGATGCCTTTGCCTTGTGAATAATGAACAGTTCAAGAAGGTCAACCCATTACAACTGAAACTGTTTAATTATTAATTATGCACAATCTATGAGCAAAAGGACAAGTTCAGAATGTTTAATGTGTGGTAACTCCGACTGGACCCTCTCTTGGCATTTTGTTATTAGCACTTGTCAGCAAGGTGCTCAGGCATAAATAAAAAAGCACAGCAGCAGAAAATCTGAGCTAGCAGGAGGAGGGAGGGCTTTAAACTTCAAACACTGCTCCTAATATTTAATTTATAGAGTGCCAAGGCTCTGGTATAAACCTTATTGACTTCCATGGAGTTAGAGGAAGTCACATTATCTAAATGAAGACCTGAGAACGAGAATACTGAGACAATCCCTCCAAAAGCCCTCTCTTTTGAAGCGAGTGATAACATTACTATCTGTATCTTCTTTTTTTTCACAGGTCTGAACAAAGGAAGAGTGAACCATCTAATAGTGTGTCCAGAAGTCAACCAATCCTTTGCAACCTATGCAATAAGAGCTTGAATTACAGATCTGAGCACTATCCTCATCTACTTCTCAAACCTATTATTCAAAATGTCTCCTGATCTGTTTGCTCTCACTAAGCAGAGCAGTAGCAGAGATGCTACTGAGGCTCAGGAAATAAATAATGTCCAGCAAACTCACAAATAAATATGGATAAGGCACCTTTCCTCTCTTTTCTGTCCAGCTTGGAGGTTTACCTGGACAAACTCAAGAAGCAAATTCAACAGATACAGCTCCGAGTTGCTTATTTTCTTTGGAAACGCTCTGAATTTGGGAGTAGTTCTCGAGTAGCAATATACACCAAAAGCATCCCATGCTTTACACACCTTCAGAGGTCTTACCCCAACAGGCAATTTCTCCAGTGTGAAATATTTTCTCAAAGCAACTGAAAATCTGAGATTTATCACAGCCTTTCTGAAGAAAGAGAAAGCCCACAATCTCCCTGTAACAGGAAAATGAGCAAATACAGCTTTCTACCTAAAATCTTCAAGGCGGCGATGGCGAAGCCCCCAGCGATGTGTTAAGATCAAACCTGTGCTCCTCCTACCTCCTCCTTCGGGGCCAGCCCGATGGACAGCCACGGTGCAGAATGATGGCAGCCTGTCATCAACACGTCCCCAGAAGAAAGCCAGGCTGCACAGCCGTGCAAGCTCGAAGACGAGCTCAGCTACACTTTGTGGGCAACGGAGGTTGGTATTCCCCGTGGATCCCCACACTCGGTGCAAATAGGTTTTACTCCCTCTTCACATCTGCTAACTCCCCCTCTGTGAAGGGTTAAATTTTCCCATTCCCCACA